GTCGTCGTAGTAGTAGTAGTTTTTGTCACCCACTTGGCACGACTGGATCAGCACTGCGGGGTCCTGACGGTTCACGAGTTCTCCAGATAGCAATAGCAGTAGCAGTAGCAGCATCATCGGTGGTAGTAGTAGTAGCAGCAGCAGCAGCAGTAGTAGTAGTAGCAGCAACAAAAAGAATACTCGTCGTCGTGGTCGTCGTGGTAATAACTAGTAATTAGTAATTAGTAGTAGTGGTGGTAGTAGTAGTAGTAGTAGCAGTAGTAGTGGCAGCAGCAGTAAGTAGTACTAGCAGTAGTCGTCGTCGTCGTCCTGGTCGTCGCCGTAGTAGTAGTAGTAGTAGTAGTAGTAGGAGCAGCAGCAGCAGCAGCAGCAGTACCAGTACCAGTACCAGTAGCAGTAGCAGTAGCAGCAGTAGTGCAGTGTGAGGAGGGAGCTTCCAGTGAAGCTGTATAGGCAGGGCAGGCAGAGGTGGCATTTCGTTTGGATGTGGAGCTGAAATGAAGGACGAGGTGCCCGTTGTTGCGAAACACGACGCGCCGGAAAATCGACGGGCCGCTCGCGGCGGATGCAGCCTTGGCAGTCAGTAGCCACACGTAGCCATGCACCTCCCAGCTACGGACTATGCAATGCCCAAATCGCAGATTCGTTGTGTTTTGGACGCCCGGCTCTCGCCACCGGCCGGCAGCGAATGTCCAAGCTCATGCTACCCAGCTCTCTCGACACTTCTCGAGAACAATAGTTTTCAGCAGCTCGGAACAGCTGGACCAAATCAGGACTTCAGACACTCAAACTTCAGTCCGGTCTCGGTTATGCCAACAGTGCCCCCAGGCTCAGCTGGCCCATTGCCTTCGAAGAGACAGTCCTGGCAAAGGCAAGACCAAACATCGATCAAACACTCGCCGTTTCCAGCCAACTTCCAAATTGTTCGCTGGCCCAAAGTCAACCAAGTGAATCACATTCATCTGGGTTGGGCTGTTCTCTAAACTATTTCAGATTTGCCTTAAGACTCCCAATGCCCAGCTCTTCAAGTTTACCTGGCTTAATGGCCTCCAGAACCAAGCCGCCGGCATTCGCCTGCCGAGTGATGTTTGGGTATCTTCTCAGATCTTGCCGGGTTGATGCTGATCTCACGAGGAAATTATGTGGAGATGACACGTTCTAGACAAGAGCAACAACTAACACAACAAGTTGTCTTCCCACCACCAACCTTACAACATTTTCGCTTGCACGAATCTGCCTGTATGGCACCGTCTGCGCCACTGCTCGGGACGCGGTTGTCGATGAAACGTGAGTTCTTGAAGAGAATGCTGGAAACGAAGGAGCGCACACCAGCTACATCCACGTTCGCGGTGTTGTTCACGACCGTAATCTGACACAGACAAACATAGGGAAAGGCAGACCCATCCTTCTCAAGGAAAGCTGGTTTACAGTCCGGTAGCAAGACGAAAGATGCATGCAACCACATCTTCATGCAAGCGACATTGGCGAAGCTCGGGCTGACAGTGGCCGTGAGGTATAGCGCCGCAGAAGAGGAGGCCTCTAAGCGCGATGCGAATGTCATGTGAATTACTTCCAGCCCCTTGTCCGGACCTGCCCAGGTTAGAATGGAGATCTGCAAGGGCCCTTCTTACATCCAAGCCGGGCGACATGGCCGTTCTGAAAGATGACATTGCGGAACCTAGTCGAAGACAAGCCTTGGATGCATCCACCATGTCAGCGGAAGCAGGAGTGCTTAGCATGCTGGTGCTTGCCTAGCTTGAGCCACTTCGAAAGAAATACAACGATTCGTGTTCAGACAATCGACCATAGCCATAGTAGGCCGAGCCATGCAGCGCTGTTCCATGGTCGAAGACACAGTCCGCAATGAGTGGGCTAGCCAGACCTCCATCATCCAGCCCGCCCCCGTAGGTAGAGTAGCAGTGAGAGAACCGGCAACGATGAAATTCGGTGTGGGAATTTTCCTCCGTCAGCAGAGCTCCACCCCATTTCAGTCCCTGCAGGCGCTCGAAGATGGAGTCCTCAATAATCGAGACGTCAGCTCCCCAGGTCGCCACGCCGGCACCATGGTTTCCCACGGAATCCTCATCGAAACCAAGGACACACCCATTCGCTGAGACATAAGGACCTCTGCCCAGACTCTCAGACAAGGATCTGTAATTCGCATTCTTTGCACCGAGGCCATCGAATCCACGAGGTATAGGCCACCGCCGTTAAACTCTCGAGGAAGAGTCTCCTCGAAGCTACAGTCCATGTCCCCTTGGGTGCAGGCGGCATGTCGTCAGACGTCGTCAGGAAGAGGCGTTAAGAGTCAAGAGGATGTTAAGAGGCAACGGTTGCAAGACCGCAGACTCGGTCCATCGACAAGCAGATCCCAAATTTATGGCTGATGGGCCTCTGATGGGCCCTGCATCCAGGCAGCTTATATGGATGTCGCGCAGCTTGGCGGGAGATTGCACCAGCTTGAATCCAGCGCCATTGCCTGAGAGCTTTTGAAGGCTTTCGGCGCAGGCGGCGCAGAATCCCTGAAACCCAAGACTGCTCCCTTTTGAGCTCACAACGGGAGGCAATGGCAGACCAGTCGCGATCGTCGGGAAGAGCCGAACAGGCTCCGTTGCGGACTGTCAGCTTCTGAATCAAAATGTCTCCAGCAGCTGCATCTAAGTACCTGTGCTCGGCTGAGACGCAAAAACGCGGCGTCATAACCTGACAGCTCATACTGCCCTGGGTACATGAAGCGGCCAGCCCTCTCCACATCAAAGATGGTCCTGAGTCGTCGTTTTCTCTTCACAAACTGCTTCAGGCTTAAGCTTGCTGACCGCAGGGTATGTGCCGAAGATTTTTGGTCCGCAGCAGGAGTTTCATCAGTAGCGAAAAAGTAGTGGACTTTTATTCTGGCTGAGTGGTGACTCAGGGTGCACCTGGCGGCACTGTCTGCTCCACTTCGTTCATCGGTTGCTTGTTCATGTAGGAACATTGAACTTTGCACTGTTCAACTCGTCCAAAGTGTTGGACAAAGAAGTCTCCGACCCGCAACCCGTAGATTTGCAAAGACTTGAGCCACAATCTGCCCGTCCATGTCGACACAATGCCATCGACACTCTTCCATTCATTGGTTCCCTTCCTTGTACGAGTACCAAGTCCTTTATGCATGCAGTCAACCCATCTGCTGCTTGTCTGATAACTTTGTTTAGAGAACTTCCCAACAGCATAACTGCGAGCTGGGGCTCAAATCCGTTTGGTAGCCTTCAATCGAGAAGTTGGCTTTGCCAAGGTCGCCGGGACTGAGGTTGCCTTCCACTGAATGTTTCGGGTTTTTCGCACTCGCACGGGTTTGGGGCCGTAGGGGCTGTCGCTTGAAGAACCTGACCGCAGAGTAGGGCTGTCCAGCATCGCACACACAAACAAGAACGCCGGGCTGCGGTTCGAAGAACCCGCAAATGTTCCGACGCCGACTTTGATGCGATCTCCTTGCGAAGGAATGATGAACTCCTATGGTGACATGAACAATGATTGCATGGAGGTTGTATCAATCTGCGAATTGGGGCTGACGTCCAGATGCATATGAAGAGATGCAGACTGATGCAGATCCCTGGCACAAGGTCCTGAGGAGAGCTGTCGGATGGCATAGTCTAAGGTTCTACACGGCGTCGTGCAGTCACCAGTGTCAGTTCCCGTGATCTCGACTGACAAATCACGGGCTGCCGCCAAGATAAACCAAAAGCATCCCAGGAGAGCAGGATGGAAAACGAGTGTTGCGACCTTCGGCCGCATTGCTCGTCCGGGCTGGATCTCGAGCCGCAAAACATCTGCGGACATGCATAGGTTCGCGCACAGGGATTCGACAACACGTGCCTTTCAAGGTCATCGGATAGTGCTTGCCAAGTTTCAGCATTTACAGACTCTACAGTCAGCTACAGCCGTATACATTCTATCAGTCGTGGTATGGTAACACTGGGCCTCTGCCGCAGCAACAGCCACCTTCTCCGTCTGAGCCTGGGGGAGAGTCATGGAGAGACTTTCTGAAGCTTCGACTTTCAGTGATGCACCAAGGTCCTGGACTCCCTCCTCCTCCCCCCCTCCGTATTCCTTGAGGCTCTGTGCCACACGTGGTGCGCACGGAAAGATGGAGTTGGGAAGCCGAACAATCAAGCATCATGCAGCCACAGCCTCGAGAATTCGCTCGATGCGTACATTGAGGATGGCCTGAATTAAGCTCGGCACTTGACGGCACTGTGTTGCGGGTCATGATAAACTGCTGTTTTTGCTTACGGCTCCCAGTCTTCAGCCATCCACAGCATCATACACCAAGCTTTGGACCAAGTCTTGCCGGTAGCCCTCCAAGCTGCGCAGATTGTTTGCGCCTGAATTTGATGTTGCACGGGACTGAGTGCAGCTCTCCGCAGAGAGTCCTGAAAGCTTTGACATGCAGTGCTTCATCTCCGTTCGAGGTGTTGCCGGAGACTGTCGTGCAGAACGTTCGAACTGTTGAGTTCGGGACTTCCCTACGTTCGAAATTGAGAAACCACCTGCGTATAATGCAAACGTTCGACGTCAAATCATGTCGGCAATTGTGAGCGACTGTCTTCGAGTAATCTTTCCAAAACTCAACCCTGAATCAGGCCTTCTTGCTCACGCAGCAGCGGCGGCGACTCGCTTATTTTGTTGCCACGATGCTTTGCCATTGCCCTGGCTTCATTTGCGACGTGAAGGGACGCAGACAGCAAATGGTAAAAAGTCTGCCGATGCAACGCAGGGAATACCCTGGAACTTCTTCAAAGAATCATCGAACACTGACGGCAGAACGTACAAAACAATCCTGGATCCCATGTGCATGCAGACAGACTCAGAGGATCCCAGCGGAAGGTGGCAACCCCTAGATTCTCTTGTCACATTTTCCCTTGTCACATAAGTTCCCAGCCTAGGCTGCGCTGCCAGGGGCCGCTTCACAGAGCGTCTATTATTGGTGCAGCGAGCGGGCTCTAGTCAAGAGAGCTTCATACTTTCTCTCGTGTTGGCCTGCCGCGAAAGACTGCGCCATTCTTCCACGTGCAATTCCTCGTAAGGTTTGCCCTCCAACCCTCCTAAACCTCGAATCAAAACAGGATACAATTTTGTCTCCATCTATTGAGAATCTCTATCAGCACGCTGCATCTCAAGCTTGCCTACTAGGGCCTACTGCCTGAGCCGATCGGGCGATGTGCAAGGACAGTGGATTCCACAGGAAGGGCACCCAAGAGCTGAGAACGACACCTTTGATTACAGGCTCCCCTTCCGAAGCCTAAAGCTGTCAGGTAATCTTGCTTGCAAAGGCAATCTCTTGAAATGCCTTATCCTGGGCGAGAGGCACACTGCTGCACCCGAAAACGATTGAGCATTGGTGTGCCCCTCGATCTTATGTTTCTTGATTGACCAGACTCTTTGTAGTTTTTTGAGCTGTTTAGCGGCTTCATCCTTAGAGCCACGAAGATTAACAGGTCCTCTCGGAGTTGCTTCACAACCTCACGTAGAGGCCGCAGCGCGGCTGTTGCCCTGGAGAACGACAGCCACTACAGCTTGGAGATCATGCCTTCTTTGCCCTGCACAAAGAGAAGTCGACAATGGATGACCTTGCCCCGTTCCCCCCGGAGGCCGCACCTGGCAGAGTCTATGCGATAGCCCTCCGTGGCAACCTCACAAAGGCAGCTCAAAGTTCAAGCAGCCATGTGAAATCTCCAAAGCCTGCAGCTAAACTTCTGCAGAAGGTTGAGGTGCAACATTGGCATCCGTGCTTTTGTTGTTCGGCCCTGTCTAAGAAGGAGACGCAGGAGATCAAACAATCTCTTCAGCAAGCATGTGGCGCTGGGCACAAATAAGCCGAGTGCATCACCCGGATGTCCTCCAGTAGAGCACCTCGAGACGTAGAGACTTCGGTGGGAGTTCCGGGCGGCGGACGGGACTGTGGCGGGAAGACGAGGATGTGCTCCATTTTTGGCGGGAGCACAAAACTCATAGAACAGCGGGATTTCGTGCCCGAAAGGCAGGCTCGTGGGGGCAACTTGTATTGCATGGCCATGCTACGACGCTACGCCTGGGCGGACTTCGAGCAGCTTGATGGCTCGAAGGACACGAGACTCACGATTTCGACTTCAAAACACCCCCTGTTCAAGCATTCCAAAGCATTTACCATCAACTCGCTGACGCGGCCGCAGCGGGAATTTGAATTTTTTAAGCGAAAGACGTCGAAAGTGTCCAACTACAGCGCCCGCGCCCGCACGCCGGCCGCAGGAAAATCCTCTCCCCACTCTTGAACTTGAACTAGAACCTCTGGTGCCAAAAACACCATCGATGCCATTGGAGGTGGCGGCGTCAGCGGCTCTGGGCCTCGCACTCGCTGAGCCGCTGCTGATGGAGGAGTCCTCTCTCGCCCACAGCGCAAGGCTCCACGGGGCATTCGGAGCTTTTTGATTTTAATCTAAACACTGTTGCTTGCCACCCAGGCCAGAGCAGTCGGATGTCAGGACATGTCCGGCGCACGTAAAAGGGGCCACGTCGGTGTGGGTTTAATTTTATTGGAGGATTTCCCATCATAAAGAATTCCCGCACAGCTCCAACTCCAAGCAAGTCAAATGGCTGGCCTCGCTGACTGGGGGACGTATACGGTCCCTCGCAAGTGTCGGATGTCAGTCGGGATCGTTAGCTATCAGTCAGCTGTTGATCTAGGGCGAGTAGAGAGAGCTGTAATCAAGGAAAGGCTTGCACCGAACTGATCCCCTGCAGGCAAGAGTGCATTCAGAGTTCTGAGTGTTCCAGTAATACTTCGCACTGACGTCGGGTGATATGGGATGCATGCCTGGTAATCAATTGCGACTTTCACCTCTTGGAACTGAACTCGTCGGTGTGCCTTTGAAGTGGAGACTGGCCTGGCCTTTTGCGCCTGCTCCTGCTGGGGCTCTGCCGCGTGGTGCCCTCAGCAAGGGTGATCTCTGGAAATCAGCAGGCCTATTATACTATTGAGATAATGAGGCATGCACATGCAGTGCAGGACCACTGTGTTTCGGATTCTGCTTTGCTGGTGGCAGCATCGCCTGTCGCATCCACGCCGGGCTGATTGGTGCCCTTGGCACATGGCCTGTACCACGGAAGCTGCAGATTCGAGGAGGCTCGCCAGCACAAGTCGTGGTAATAGCACGCAGGCCACTCACAGTCAAAGCCGCAAGTGCCAGGCCTTTGTTCATGCGACTGCCAGCGACATGACAAACAGTCTCCGTGCACAAGTCATGTGCCGTCACGGTTTGGTTTCGAATGCTCTCTAAACATATGAGTTATGTTACATAGAGGTAGCGATCTTGTCCCTATAGCAGTTTTGTCCGTGGTCCCATGCATGGTGGCAACGCAGGCTCACGACTCACGACCATCAGTGCGAGCAACAGCCAAGCGCCAGGCTGAAACCTTTGAGGGCGCATATGGAATGGCACGGCAAAGCTCAGAAACCCAAGCAACGGCAGGTCACTACCACCTCGCAAGACGGTGCGGTTTGGTCTGTCGCCAGGGGCTCCTTGAGCACTTTGGCTCGGGGTGAAGAGTTGGGAATAACCTTCTGCGTGAGCCTACGGTTGGTCCGTGGAACCGCACTCGACGTCGTTATACGCAATGTCAACGATTCCTGGCGAGAGTTTCCAGACTTCGCCTCCGGTGTGCAGGGATTCGTAAGTGCCAAGGCACGTCGCCCTCGTCAATTCCAAGACGCATCCAGCCCCAAACACCAGCTCCAGGCCTCTGGGCCACTTGGGCATACTTGGGCGACTGGCAAGGGCGCTCGGCGGGAGCTGGCAAGACCGGAGCAAGTGCCGAATACCATGGAGTCATGGAGAACACACCAAAAACAAGATGGAGGAAGGCAGACGCGGTCCCGATTTGGCAGTACCTACTCCAATTTTGCCAAGCAGCTGGCCGAGCCTCAGCACAACGAAACGAGGAGTCCAGGTGCATGGCATTGCCGACAGTAGCTGGCAGCCCGAATCGCGAAGTGCTGAACAAGCAGCAGTGCCTGGTTCCGCATAGATACGCCCCGAGGACAAGTCGTGGAGCAGGGAAGCCTTCAAGCTTGGAGCTTGACTGAAGCTTCTGACTTGGGACATGCTGGCATCGTTACATCCTGCTTCAAACTCTGTCTTCATGTCTCGTCTCGCACAGGTGCAGCATCCGATGCTTCGTGTATGCGTTGGCCTAAGGATTCGGAGTGCAAACCCTAACACTTCACACCTCGAACATGGCAGGGAAGCACTGCATTTGTTTCAGCCCTCTTGGCGCTAATGGGACCAATCATGCACCATCAGCTGCGACTAGCGGGTTTGAGCTTGTCGGCGCGCACACGATCCTCAAAAGAAGCGATGTGCGCGAAAAGGTTACGAGCTTCCCTGAAGCTTTCCAGCACGACCTGGCGAAGGGATTACCAAGAAACGTGTCAATATCATGATGCAACCCAGAGTGCACCCGCCGGAATCAGGGAGTAGTTATTGGCTCATACCCTCGGCTCAGACGACCATCTGCTCGGCATCCTTCGCCTTGCAATTGTCGCCGCCCTCGTGGCAATGCACCTGATTCTTCTTCTCCGCAGCCGTGAAGGTCGCAGGCACCGCCCAAGAGCACTGGTCCTCCAGGAGCAGCGCACCCTTCGCCACGCGGAAGTACCCCATTTCTCCCCAATACTCGCCCCAAGAGTTCCTTACGACCCAGAAGAAGCCGTCCTTCGGATCGGTTCCCCAGCCAACCACTGACACGACGTGATCGACACCCTCGCCCTTCGTCTTGATGATGCCAGACTCGTAGTTGAGCAGCGGGTTAGCGTCCACCCCACACGAAATCGGACCGCGATGGAAGATCTCCTTCATCATGGCATCAGCACCAGAGATGGAGCCGTAGTCCGAAATTGTCACGTTGGGGAATTCACCAAGGCCGGTGCAAGGACCACCCTCCTGGGAGAAGCTTCCACAGGTCCGGGCCACGTTCAGCGCCTTGCAGGACGTGTCGACATACTTGCAGAAGCCCTCATCGGAGTCGGAAGTGCAGGCAACGTAAGGATTGGCGGTCTCGTAGCTGATTCCGGTGCCCTTCTTGGAGATCTCCATGAGCCACTGATATGGGCCGTCGACACTGCCGCCCTTGCATGTGCCCACGCCACCGCAGTTCAGCAGGTGCTGAACCGCGAGGTTGATGTCGATTCCTTGCGCTTTGCGTGCGATCTTGATGCGGTCGCCAAGAGCGGAGATGGCGCCATGGGCCCAGCATGATCCGCAGTATTGCGGAATATGCTGATTCCGAGACATGGTGCAGTAGCTTTTGCCATCCTTGTTGCACCAGCTGAAATCCGAGGGCATCTCTGTTGCCTCAAGCAGGTCGTGGGAGCTTTGATGTGTCGAGGCATTGCCGCGCCATACAACACCAAGCTTCTCCACCTCAGCGCGTGGAAGCAACTCAGAGCGATGGCGGCGATCATTCTGTGCTGCAGCAAGACCGAAGCCAAGAACTGCGATCGCCTTGGAGAACTTCATGATGCTTACCTCGAGGCTACGTCGGCTACGTCAAAGTCGAAAGCAGGAGCTGCGAACTGGAGCCCAAATCGCAACAAACGCTTCGGTTTAGCTTCTCGCCGTTAGCGCTTTTCGGAGTTCGGCCGCCGCATGAGTGCAACAAAACATTAAATTTGCTGCCACTGATGTTGCACTTCTTGTAACAGCGTGTCTTGAGACAACACATCAGCACGAAGACGCCCACCTCATCGAGGATTGTGAGACTGTTGCCGAGTTTGAGCAGTGGCCGGCCCGCAACCTAGAGCAATAGCAGAAAGTCCTCATAGCAGCAAGAGCAAAAGCTACAAGCTTGCTAGGCTTCATGGCTCTGCCCTGAGCTCAAGGCGAAGTGCTCGCACATGTCACTAGATGCACGGATACCTGAGCATCCAGGATATCGGTTGCGCCTCCGCTTTCCTAAGCAGCCTGCCTGGAGTGGGGTTGAAGTCGGACACTCCTTACACAATTTAGGAGCACCTGATTGGCGTCGCGAGATTTGTGGGGTTCGTGAAATGGCTACGTTTGGGGAAGATGCTTCTTTATCATGTGGGAAAACACACATCAGATCATGAGGCCCAGAACACTAGCCGGAACAGTGTGCAAATCTGTTACAACTGCCCGCGTTGTTCACCGGGTTTGGGATTTCTGCCACGCGTTCAACTATCTTGTTGGGAGTGCGTTTCTGCAAGAGTTGGCTCGGTTGCAGTGGGTGTCCGAAAGTTGGAACATAGTGGTGAAAAGACACCCTCAATCCAAGAGCGTGATTTCGTCATCAAGCGCATCATCATCAGCAGCAACATCCAGGATGCTGAACCAAGTCAGGGATGTACAGGGATCCCTGACCCTTAGGAAGCTGAGCCTCAATTAACTTCCATCGTAGTGCCCGCTCTGCCTGCATCCACCAGCCACACTTCGAACAGAGTCTTCGGATTTGTTTCTTTACTACGATGCCGTTATCCTGCCCCCCCCTTCACCCAGCCGCAAATCTTTCTCGGCGCTCTGAAACCACTCTAACCAAGATCCGTCAACTTCCAAGTCTTAGATCGCCAATCTCATGGCTTCAGTCAAGCAAAGGGTTGATGCAATTTGCTACAGGATCAGGTCCCATGCACACTGCGGACCGTGCAAGGCTCGTCTCCGCGCTACAGGTCCTGTACTTGTCACGCTGTAGCTTGTCTGCAAAGTGCGCATCAGACGGCTGAACTCATCCTCTTCTGCGTGTGACCATGACCTTCGAATCTTGCACTGCGGTTGCTTGTTGTGCAACCTGCGCACCAGACGCCCGAACCGTTGCAGTTCCAAGTAGCGCAACTGTTCCTGGCATTTCTTTGGTCTCAACGCTCTCCTACATAAGGTCGTTTAGTACGTCTCCCGACCCTGACTCGGTCAGATCACAGTTGCAAGCGTCTGGCAAAGGCGAACACACGGAAGAGGTTTCAGTTGTTGGCATTCCTACGTAGTCGCCCGTTCGCTGGAAAAAGCTGAGCCAGGGGTACTGTCGTGTCTGTGGCAAAGCAAAAACTGGGTGACCAGTCACGAATCCTTTTGAGCCTTGAGCCTTGAACACCAGCCAGGTGCTCTTCCACAGCGGGAAGAGCCACCACAAGGTTTCGGCATTCAAGGCCCCCTTCGATCCAAGTGTGCTTTCGCAGCAGGAGCGTAACCCTTGGAAACCATAATGTGCGACGGGCAACGTGCATCTCAAGGCCCAAATGTGGCGAGGCTCTATCTTCCGCTCGACTTCCTTCATTTGCTGTGAATTCGACAGTCCTGGCATGGATTGCCAGTTTGGCCAGTGGCTCGTCGCATCAAACCGGCAGGAGTCATAACGGGAAACCGACTTGAAACGACTCCCGTGCTCTGAGAGAGGTTGGATACAGGTCTTTGCTATTCAATACCCAGCTGCTCGGCAAGGTCAGCTATGATGCCATCCCTCTGTCCTTCGCGAAACGTCAAGCCATCAACAGCATGAGTGACTGCGCTCTTAAACCTCCCCCCCCCCCGCCCGATCCAGGATATGCCTGTCTTGCCCAGGTTCACCTCAGCTTCATCCACGAAGATCGGAGACAGTGCCATCACGCAAAGTGACAAAACTCAAGCTGCACCTGCCCTCTTCAGAAAGAGAGTGGCTTCTGCCCTGAATCCGCGATTCACTGCATTTCCCTCTCTCCTCTCTCTCCCGCTTCAAGCTGCTCCTGCTTGACAGCTTCAATTGCCTCAGTGTCCGTTCTCCCTCTCTCCATGGCAGCCACGAAGCCAAAGGCTGAACTTCGCAAGCTTGTAAGACGGTGTCCTGTCATCCATTGTCTGTGCCATCGGAAATCGTGCAAACTCGTTTAGTACAGTTGGGACAGGCTGTGTGGCCTCTCTCTGCGGGATCTTCTACGCGAATCGCGTTGATTCCTTGCAACGCATTGATCCCATTTGTTCAGGTCTGTTTATACGAAACTGTTGAAACGCAGCATATATTTTTCGTCATCGTCAGCTCAATCATCATCCTGGTACAGGAGCGCTTCCTGCCAGGTCTGTGCCTCGAAACTTGCTAAGCTGGTAGCTTCCCAGGGGAGGGGTCAGCAGAAAGGCATTTTGTGTTCAGGCTCCTGACGATCAACACATTAGAGTCGGAGCTGCCATGTAGATCTTCAAACCCGGCCCACCTGCAGCATCAGCTTAAGGCTGCCGAGCAGAAAGCGCTGGCACTCGGGCTCTGTAAGGCCAAGAGCCTTCCACATGTCATCAAGCGCTACGGGTTTTGTTTACTCCAGGGTGCGATGCAAAGGAAACCAGCCGTATCCGCTGGAAGCTGTTTATGTGTACACATGCATACAGAAATACAAGACATGCATGCATGCATACATACATACACCCATACACCCGTACACCCATACATACATCCATACATCCATCCATACATCCAT